TGATGAGGCCACTGCACTCCACCCAGGGCGGCAGAGTAACACTCTTGTCTCAAAAAAAAAAAGTGGGGGGGGGTGGGTTGGGTTGGGGAGGGGAGCTGTTCTTCCAAAATGTCAATGTTTAAATAACAGTGAAAGGCTATGGAAATGCGCCAGAATGTAGGAGACTAAAGAGATGTGGCAACTAAATGCAGTACCTGACCCTAAGCTGGATCCTGTTTTGGAGAGGAAAATATGGTTTAAGGAACATTACTAGATCAACTGATCCAAAAACATTGGAGTAGTTACGTTAGATAAAAGTGTTATATCAATATTAAATTTGCTGACACCTGTATTGTGGTTATGTAAGAGAATATTTCTGATTATAGGAAGTATGCTCTGGAATATTTAGGGCAAAGGGCCATGATGTTTGTAATTTGTCCTTAAAAAGGTTTAGAAAAAATTGAATATGTCTGTATGTGTATAGACAGAGAGGAGGGAGGGAATGTGCATGATTGCAAATGGTAAAGCAAATGAGGTAAAATGTTAACAGTGGCGAATATGGGTAAAGGGTATAAGTGAGCTATTTGTATTATTTTTACTTTTGTAACTTATCTATACATATGAAATTATTTTCAAATAAAAAGAAAGCATATATGGTTTAGCTATAATGCATTCTGATGAACTAACAAATAGAGAATTTATTCTAGAAGAATGAATACTTACCATGCCCGTTAGGCAGTTTCTGTCAAATATCAGATGTCTCAAGTGAGCCTTTGGTAAGTACTGGATCAAATCAACTCATAGTTGAATTATCCAGTGACTGCCTTAAGTGCCAATACTCTGTTGTTGATTGAAGAAGGATCCATATGTTTTAGATAGCAAATATGAGACAAATAGCATTGACATTCTGTTGTGAAAATGTAAAAGTCTGATTTATTTTATGCTAGCTCACTTTCTCATGAAGATGGGTCAGAGAGGTACTTAAAGGAAGTTACTAATATTTTCTCTCAAGGAGACTTTGAAACTGTAGAGGCAATTGGACAGGTGCTCAGGTGTGATCCTAAAGTTCAAAAGTATAGTATACAAAAAATTATTTGGCCTAAAGTATTTTAAAGGCATGTGTTAGCAGTTGACTGTCTTCCATCATAAAGGAATCTGAATATTTATCCCCTTTAGAAAATGTGATTTTTGAGTAACAGAGTAACATGCTGTTGGCTCTTTCAGGCTTAAATTAGCTGCAGAATGTCCCCCAAATAACTGATTCTCTCTTCCAGTTAAGAAGCAAATTAGACTGATAAAAACACTTAAAACATTGTGAGAAAGTTAAAACTGTGTTAAAAGAGAGATAGAAAATATAAAGTGCTGTCACTAAATAGCTGGTAATAGTAATAGCAAATTTTTAATCCAGTGTACATTTTTAAAAATTGTGTATGACAGGCAGCTCTGCTCCCAATGTTAAAGGCCTTTCATGCCCACAGTTGCAAAAGAAATTCATAAAAATGCAACATGGCTTTAAATTGTCAGTGTAGTTGTCCCCCTCCTATCCATGGTTTCACTTTCCATGGTTTGAGTTACTTGTGGTCAACCATGGTCTGAAAATATTACATACAATAAGATATTTTGAGAGAGAGATGCCACATTCATATAATTTTTAGTATATTGTTATAATTGTTCTATTTTGTTATTAATCTCTTACTGTGCCTAATTTATAAATTAAGCTTTATCAGAGGTATGTATGTATAGGAAAAAACATAGTGTATATAGGGTTTGGTACTATCTATGGTTTCAGGCATCCATTGGGGGTCTTGGAATGTGTTCCTGCAGATAAAGGAGGACTGCTGTATCTTGAAAGTCCTCAAGGTAGGGATGCTTCTCCTTTATTATGTCTGTGAGTTATGAAAAACAGTCTTAGCCAGAGTACAGAGACTGGCAGATACCATACACAGGGCTTGATTTATTGAACGTTTAGACTTAAAGTGATGGGAGAAAATGCTAGTAATGAAAATGTGTCATGTCTTTAGCTATTATATTGTGACTAACTAAGATAATGAGGATATATTCTTCCATTATTCAAAAATGATAATCTGCTTCAGCTTAGAATTCTCTCACATCATTGATATCATTGATATAAACAAAAACATCAAGTAATACTACAAACTACACTTGGAGAGCTGGTTGCTAAATATTTACCAGTCTACCCTATTGGTCATGGCACAGTTGAATTCAGTGTTTTGGTAGGAAATAGATGATAATATGAATTTATTGTACTGTTACTCAGCTTTAGGAAATAATATTGTGACAATATGTGGGCATTAATTAAGAGAAAAAGGAACATTGAGTTTTAAAAGTCATTAACCATAATATATAATAATAATTTTAAAATACATAATTTGAAGTCTTTCATAGGTCTGTTGCAGATTAAAAATAGAATTTAAAGTTTGAAGAATGCTTAAAATTAATCTAGACCAACTTGTCTTATAAATAGGAGTTCTTTCTCCAGTATATGTCAGCCATCCAGCCTTTATTTAAATTCTTCTAGAGACAGAGTTCATTACCTGATAATAACATTGGAGAACTCTAGAAGTAGAGTTCTTTCTTATATTGATTAAACTTTGTTTTCCTTTGACTTATACCAGTTGGTTCTGGTACTGACTTCTAGAGAAACACAGAAGAGAAATTTGTCTCTTCTGTGGAGCAACCTATTCCTCAGGTATAAAGTTAGCTGTGGTTTTTCATTTAGATCTCTTTGGGAAGAAGTATACCTTTAGTTCCTGTAACTATACATTGTGTGGCATATTTTCTAGACTCTGTAATCTAAGACTTTGTTGCCTTTTTAAACATCCACATCACTATTTTTATTAACCTTGTGGCTAAAGTAGAAGCCTTTAGATGTTTCTTTGTGCGAATTGTCCAAAAGTCAAGTCTTCTGTCTTCTGTTTCTTTTTTTCTTAAACTCCAATACATATCCTTGTATTTATTATATTATACCTTCATATTGCTTCTAGTGCAGCACTTTGAATTATAGAAATGATATTGAATTATAATGTTATTTATTTATTTAGTTTTTTTTTTTGAGACAAAGTCTCTGTTGCATCAGCTAGAGTACAGTGACGTCATCATAGCTCACTGCAACCTCAAACTCCTGGGCTCAGGGGATCCTCTGGCCTCAGCCTCTGGAGTAGCCGGGACTACAGGCATGTACCACCACGCCCAGCTAATTTTTTTCTAGTTTTCAGTAGAGACAGGGTCTGACTCTTGCTCAGGCTGGTCTTGAATTCCTGACCTCCAAGCAGTCCTCCCACCTCAGCCTCCCAGAATGCTAGGATTTACCGGTGTGAGCCACCACACCCAGCCCATTTTTGATATTTATCAGTCTTATCAGCTTTGTGTCAATTGCATATTTAATAAGCACTCAATGTTTATTGTCCACATCCCAATTATTGTTTAAAATGTTGAATTTCAAAGGGCTATGGGGACATAATCTTCCTTTAACCTCCCTAAATTCACTTCTGTCCATTATTATTACTTTTCATTGTTTAATCTAGTGTGAGTTCACTTAACAGTTCTATTAAGTAGTCCACATTTCACCATTTTATATCCAAAAGTTCATGATATATTTTTTCAAATACTTTACTAATTGAGAGATATGCTATGTCCCTGGAATCCCTTCAAATGAAACACACTTTAGTACTTCTGTCTTTGAAAATTAGGCATTTCTTGAAGAATCCTGGCATGGCTGAATGTTAAAATCATATTCTTCCACAAATGGAAATCCACGAAGAATGGTGGGTCAAATATCAATTAAGACATTAATTAAAACAGAAAAGGAGCAAGAGCTCACTGGAGATACTTGATGATCTGGGCCATGGTATTACTTGGGCTGAAAATCGTCTGTGCCACGAGAGTAGAGCTTCTTCACTAAGGAAGTAGTCTGGGTCAGGTGAAATTTTGGGGATCTATAATAAATTGAATAGGATTTGTTAGCCCTTTTTACTCTCTTCCTTCTCATTGTGTCTTTCTTTTGAAATGTATGTTGTGAAATATTAATAGTGGATGCATCTCAGTGCATATCAGTGTTTCTTTGCTGTGTGTATCAACTACCTCCTTATTCTCTTTGCCCTGGACGAACTAATACCTACTTCATAGCATTATTTTGAAGACTAAAAGAATAACTCAGTATGACATTACCTAGCACATTTCCTTCTATTTAGTAGATAGTAGATGAGGGTTTATTTAATTTTTGTTAAATTTCGTTGACTAACCGTGGTGGAGGTTGTCAGGAAGTTACTAGAGTAAGTTGTCCCATCATAATTTCCTTGATCTCTCCCTTCCTTCATCCTACCAAGATCTGTTTTGTTACTGCTGGAAGCAAGGAAAATTTATATTAGGTTACTTGGTTAAATAGTGTTAATAAAACAATGCCTTTCTCTTTTCTACTACCTTTTTCTTTTTCTTTTCTAAAAAATCTTAGATCAAAAGCAACATCTTCTAGGAAGCATTTCCTAATTAGTTGTTTCAGTTTCTGGCCAACATTGAAATTACTCTTAAAAGTTATTCTATTTATATATATATATGTTGGACAGGTGTGGTTTTGGGGGTTCTTCTTTGAATATACTCTTCAGTGTTAAAATCAGAACTCCTAGAAGATAGAAATGGTTGTGTTTTATGAGTACTTGATTGGTGCTATATCTAATATCTGTTTTTAATTTAGCCTAAGACAAGGCTACTTGTTAAAAAAGTAAAGAAGACTTAGGAAGTAGAGGTAAAGGAGTTTGGAGAATATGAAGAAAGGATATTGTGGATAAAACTTATGAGTTTTTGGGAATTTACTTTCCTTAATTGTGTACCTGATCGCATTAATTATTTTATGGGAGGTTTTATTTTCTTTTTTAACTTGGGGATTTCTAAGGATGGATTAATAGACTGTCTACCTAGTTTTTAAAAATCTCATGGTTCAGTACATTGTAATTAGTATCTGGTAATTAAATCATTCTCTTTTTTTTGCAGATTGAAGTGTTGCCATGCAGCAAGAAGCAGAGAGATTCAGAGTTCGAGCCAGAAGACCTGACATGGCACTCTATGTACCTAAAGCTCGAAGGGGCGCGGTACTCCTTAAGACAAGTGATGAGGACAAAAGCTGTGGTTCACCTAACTCTGTGGTGAAAGAAGAACAAAAAGAAGGCTGTCTCTCCCGAAAGGAAATCTTTAGAGACAAATCTGAGGCTCAAAGACTAAGTATTAGTCCTGATAGAAACGAACATAATTATAGGGAAGGAAAGAAGTCTTCAGCAAAATTAAGAAAAGACATACGCCTTCAAAAAAGAAATAAAGATAGAGTTTGTACTAAGAGGGAAACTACTGAATCCAAAGAATTATTATCCCAAAGACATCAGCAAAGAGCCCCAAATACTGGGATTATACCTAATGCACCTTTACAGAGACATTTTAAACCAAAGAAGCTAGAGTGTTTGGAGGTTGAAACCACAGATGTGACAGGGCATGAGGGGATGCTTCTATCGCAGTCTTGTTCAGAAATTAGTGAGGCTCAGGTTCTAAGCAAACCATTTCAAAATGTGGAATTCTGTGATTTCAATAGGCACGAACTAAGTGGGGAAACATTTGAAGCCAGGGATTTGGAACACAGAATTGAAACTGATGCCAAGGTTGTAGAGATACTGTCCCAGTCTCCTAGAGTTTTTAATTCTGTATTGAAACCAGAGGATATGACTGCAACAATAAAACTAAGCTCTGATTCTGGAATTGTACAACAAGGCATACAAACATCAGATGGAATGTTGAAACTCAGCAGTGGAGGCATCACTGCTCTTTCTGAAAGTCTGGATGGTGTCATTGATCAAACTTGTGTAGACTTTGAAGCTGAGAATGTAGGTGATATAGCCAGTAGTACAGGTTTCATCTTGGATCAGAAAGATACAGATTCCATTCCTGAGACTATGGGTCATATCTCTCATAAAATGTCTATAGTCAGCAAATTAGAGAGCACAAATGGCATTGTTGATCCAATAATGTTTAAAGAGTATGAGAAGAATGACAGCGTTGCTGATGAGTTCTGTGTAAAGTATGAACCTTCCGATAGAGCTATCCTTGCTCATGAAACAGATACAGAGAATGGATTTAAGAGTGTAGGTGACATTACCAATAAAGCATGTATGATGGACATTACAGATGCCATATGTGATCATATAGCTGTTGGCAGCCCTCATGTAGTTGCAGTTAGAATAGCTGATGAGACCGGTAACGATACAAGTAGTTTCTCAAAATATATAGGAATGAGTGCAGATGCAGCCCCGCTTCATATAGCTAGAAGTGGGAATGACACTGAAAATTTCAGCAATTTGACTTCTTGCTCAGATATTTATGCTGAGAGTATTTCATCTTGTTGTACAGAGTCAACAGGAGAGTTGACAGAGAGCCTGTCAGATTGTGCTTCTTCCTTACCTATAAAGAAGATTGTTGGTGGTAATTGTAACACTGTTTTGGACTCTGAACTCAATATGTTAAATGGGACAAAAGTACTTTCAGACATGGCCTTGGGCAATGATCTGGATAGTACTGGTGATATAACAGAGGACTTACATGAACTAAGAACTGCTGAAGAGTTCAAAACAAAAGAGCAGGATGACTCAGAGAATATAGAATTTGGTGTATCCTTTCCTGATAGAGAATCATTATCTATGCAAACATCCATGGAACCAAAAATGACCAAAACTTCTCATGTGGAGGACAGTACTACTACTGAGGAGAGCTGGGAGTCTATGTTTAATGATGATGGTGACTGCCTGGATCCACGTCTTCTACAAGAGGTATGTTTAGTTGAAATTTCTTGATGCTTAGACAGTTCATAGCTTTGGAGAACCTAGGCCCTAGGGGCCACATGTGGCCTTCCAGATCCCCAATGCCCCTCAACCAAATCCAAACTTCACGGAACAAAATCCCTTTATTAAAAGGATTTGTTCTGCAAAATTTGGATTCAGTCAAAAGGCCACACTGAAGGATCCAGAAGGGCACATGTGGCCCCACCCCACTACCTGGAGGTAGTTTTGATAGACATTTGTACACATTCACACATTTACTCACATTCAATTTATGAGTTCCTACAATAAACTAATAGTATTGTAGATTGAGAAAAGAATATCTGATAGAGCATTAAAAACGTACAGAATTGTACTGTATCTATAATAGCCAGGCCCTGAGAGATCTTATTGAATAGATTAAAGATGAATTTAATGGATTCTGGCTATCTGTTGAGGAAATACAGAGGAAATCTTCTTCAAAAGGATTTTTCTGTGTTGACAAGATCTGTTTGACAGAGGCCTGTTTGGGGAAGGAGAATAATTTATTACTATTATTCCTATTTTATTTTTCTAGCAGATATTGGAATGTTGTTGGATACTGTGGAGGGAAGGAAGTAGAAAAGGAAAGGGTAAAATAAAACTATCTATCTTTGTTTTTTAAGGAGTTTGTACTGAATTAAATTGCAGAATAAATGACTCTTTAGCATATATAGAAAATATAAGTGAATAATGACATGCTGGCCGGTTGGAGTTCATAGACAGAAAATACTGGGTTTGAAGCATCTTAGAAATTACTTAGTTCAGTCTTTTTATTCTTTCTACCAGACCATCCTCACTGAGAGTGTTTTCTTTGAGCTGTTCCAGAGAGCCTTTTAAATACTAAGTGATGAGTCTTTTATTTCTGGTAATTAAACTAGCAGTATAGAAAAATCACCACATGCATGTGAAAAAGCTCCTTGAGGCTGAAGAAGGCGGCCCATTGGGTAGAACTGACTTTCCAATACCAAGCAGTCCCACCTCATTCTTAGAAGGTATTTGCAGGCACTGAGTTTCCCTGTACTATAGTGAGCCCTTTCTACTGTCAGATCAGGAAACACTTTATCTTAAACATTCCTTAGAACAAAATATAGAGCAGACAGTATCTATGAATGAGCATCCATGAACCCCTTGAAGTTATATGCAAAGTTATGTAAGTATGTGCATTTTTTCATAGCTTTCATCAGATTTTCAAAGACAGTGATTCCCGAAGTGTGGTGCCTGGACCAGCAGCAGCATGAGCATCACCTGGGAACTTGTTAGAACTGCAGACACTTTAGCCCAGCAAACTGTATGTGTAAAACTTTGTCAGGTGATTCTGATGCACATGAAATTTGAGAACCACTGCTCAAAGGTAATACACAAACTTAAGTGTATATCAGAATGTGAGTGGGGAACTACAAGTGGTTGTCAGCCCATAATTAGAAAAATACTATTCACCGGAGGTTTGAGACCCAGATCAGGTCAAGAAGTAATAATAATGGGGGAAATGAGGTGAATATAGAGATGTTAATAAGGATCAAAGCATTGGGAGAAGGACTTAGTCTGAGAAAGGAAGCAGTGTTCACGGGAGCTGGTGAAAGGACTACCTGAGGAGTAGAGGGCACATGTATGTATGTGTAGGACAGAAAGAACAGCTTCCTGCAAAAGGGTATGACACATAGCTTTTTACACATGGTAGTACTCAGTAAATATTGATCAAATGGATGGAGTTGAGAGGGCAGAATTGGGTCTTTTTAGGGTGGCCTCCAGGGGCTTTCAAAACATCAATGCTGCTGGAACTTGGATTCTGTGTGTTAGTTTATGAATATGGCTTGTGTATTGGAGGAGAAAGGCATTCAAGTGTACAACTCAGTTTTTTAGGTCTTACCACTGTTTAGAGTAAGTCTAAAAGAATTTAGGCAACAACTCAGTATTTTGAGGAACATACTAACAGTTAAAGAGGACGTTGGGATGACCAAACGCTGAGTATAGCAAGAAAATAGAGTAGATAGTATTTTAAGCTGAAGACAGCCAGTCCATGGGTGTTGTGTTTGGATTATCTTTGGAGGCACTTGTGAGAGAGTGGGGTCTATGTTGAAGGATGAGGATAGATGAAAGCAGGAAGGAGGGAGATGGATTGAGAATGCAGGTAGCAGATCCAAGTCTAAAACTGTGATCTCCTCTGCTTTCAGTTTTAGAAAATATAATTTTATTAAAAGATGTCACAAATCCAATAACATTAATAGCTCTTTGGTGACTTTTATTCTTAGTTTATTATTTATATTGCTCCAAACATACTTTATTAAATGTTAAACCACAGTGCCTGCCTACCTTGAAAACTTTCCAACATAAGGTTTTTGGCTATTTTCCCAGCTGGCCTGTTTCTTTGTTGATAATGGCTAGACATGTGAAGGTATGTCTAATACTTCTAATAGGCGAGGAGGTATGCTGTAGAGCAGGGTGTGGCAACTATTGGCGTGCGAAGGAATTTCCTGGGACATGTGAACCTCTAAAATTGCCTGAGGTAGGTAGCACATAGTTAGGTGTTATTGAGCTCCTAGAACTGCAACTCTTGATGTGTCTCCAAAAGTCACACTTAATCTCTTAAAGCCATGGTATGGAATTTGATAAAATTACCGATTTAAGTTGGTAATTGATAAAGGAGAGGATGTTGGCATGTTTTCTTTTAGCCCTCTGAGATCTTGGTACAAGAACATAAGAATTATTGTTCTCCAGAAAAGTCTTTTCATAGTCCCTGCTGCTGCCTGTACTGATCAGCAAATCTGTTGATAGGAGGGTTAGTGGAGTACCAACAACATAATATTAATACTGGCATCTGACACCTTCATTGGCCATTTCTGGCCTTGAGTTGAGTTTTAGGTAGGGGTAAATATTTAGGTAAGAAGAGTCTCCTAAAGTAATAATTTGAAACCTTCCATTTGGGAAGTCTTTGTTATAGAAGGCCAGTCTAATGGTACATAACCCTGGAAAAGCATTCCTACCTATCTTCCTTCTGTGTGTGTGCTAACTCACATATTTATACTCTCTCTCTGTCTCCCTACAGTCTTTTGCAAAAATGCTGTCCATTTTTAAGTGGAAAACCCAAAGTTGAAAGGAAAAGTTTATAATCCAATCACTAAAAGCAAATTATGTGAAGTACAGAGAGGAAAGACCTTCATATTGCACCCCCAGAAAACTCATAAATAGTTGATATCCCATCACCTTTCAGTTAAATAGCAAATACTGAGCATTTAGAAGTTAATAAACTATAAATCACAGGTAGCTAGATAATATATGTTGTTATTATCACTGCTATGTTAAAGGCACTGTGCTATGAGCCAGCTTTGTCTTTGCTTTAAAATTGCTAATGTTTTATTTGGAGAGACAATATATAACCATGTGACTAGATAGTTACATAATGATCTGAAGGGTAATTAATATAGAACAACCTTATAACAGATGTATTGGAACTATTTGATTGTCCGATGAGTGATGTAGACAATGGCTTCAAAGGGGGATTAGATCCTCCAGTGCTAGACTGATTGATACAGTTTCATTTGGTAAAGCCATAGAATTAGGAGATTATAATTGCCACTTGTACTATATTGTTCTGTGTTCCTAATTTCTACTTTCTATTCTATTTTTGAAAAATTTATTAACTTATTTTGAGGAATTTTAGGTTTATAGAAAAAATTTAAGGAAGGGTAGAGTTCCCATGTATCCCCCCACCCGTCTGTTTCTAATTTCTATTTTCACAGTATCTTTTATTAGTTCCAGCTCACTTTAACAGATTTATAGTTAATATTTTTATAAAAATGTCTGAATTGACATGTTATTGACTGCCTAAGTGGGGATTTATAGACTCACCTTCTAGATGCTATATATTCTAATGCAGTCACTTGGGACGTCCAGTGAAGAATCTGAGTGAATTATGTACTCTGTTCATTGTTCATTCCATTAGTGGATGATGACTAGATCTCTGGTTCACACAGAAAGAGGGAACATTAAGTAGATTTCCTTGCTCATAGGGTTTTTAATTTAAACTAGGTGACTCCTAAAATTAAAAATCTCCCTTCTGAGCTCTGTTAGATTTGTTGCATAATGTTTTTTCCTCTGAATCAGCATACAAGCCAGAAGCATTTTAATTTCTGATCCCCTTTCAAAACTATATATAGGTTCTGGGCCTATATTGTCAGTACAAGGGAGGCTTTTATTTAAGGATTCTTGTCTGAAGCTTCAGAGATTTTTAGTGTGCCTTGCTCTGTCCTTAACACTGCTCTTGTTTCAGTGAACTCCATGAGATGTGAGGTAGGATTGGGGCATTTTAAAATTTATCAAGGTTTATAGTAAATCATCAAATTTTTAATTGACTTTCCTCAAAAGAAAATGAGTTAATAAGCAGTTATGTAGCTGTAAGGTAACAGTAGAAGAGAAAAACAGAAATAAAGGACTTGAATAACCTAACCTACATAATTGAGAATTGACTATGTGGGTTAATTCTGTAAATAGACATGTGGCTTTTAGAGCAACTGTAGTGATTTTATACCACCAACTTGTGGTCAAATCTTGTTGTTGTCCCTGTGACCCTATGGTGTATCTCATGTATAAATTAGTTGTACCTGTAACTGTAGTTTAAAGTGGTTTTTTATATTTATTTGTGTTTGATTAAAAGCACTCATGAAGATGTTATTACTCCTACTTTCCAAGATTTGAGCCATGGTTATATAATATTATAGCCCTTGAACTATAAGGACTAGGAAGTAGAACTTTATCCTTTCTTAGAGATGGAACTGCATAAGTCTGTTTAAAGAAGTGGAATATTAGCATTGAAAGTCATTTCTGAGAATAAGTATTAGCACCACAAGGCTGTAAACTCCTTAAACATTGTTAAGGCCCCGAAAAGTCATACTTACCTAGTTAAGGTTAGTTAGTGCCAGAGATGGCACTAGAATCCGTGCCTCCTGGTTTCTAGCCTTAGGCTCTCTCTATAA